GTGAACTACAAGTCGTTCGGATTCTCGAAGATTGTTCCCCGCGTTCCTGAAGCAAAGTTTGCTGTCGTTGTCGAGCAGTCGACTAACGCTTCCCAAGCCCTCCCACTGTGGAACGAGGTGATGACTAGAGTGAATGATCGCGTTGACAGTCACACTGAATCTCGATGAATTAGCTGAAGGGACACATCTACCAACTGCTTCCGGAGTCGAGCAATTTCATTGGAAAGCGCCGTGAAGGACATGTCTCCAACTACTATCCTGGAGAGCCCATTTTGGATGACGAAGTGGCTGCTATTCAAGCTACTGCAGAGAAGTTGGGCATTGACGTTCTCAACACCCGGTAAACCAATTCGCTACCGAGATGACGGTGTTCATTGACACAGGAGTAGAGTACGAAAGGATGACTCTAACAGCTTCACTCTTCTCGTCGCATCCGCTCGTCCTAAGCCTGCATCCTTACATGAGATCGAGGTGATGGGCAAGGGCGTTCAGCTCACCGTGGAGTACGGTGACTTTGCTGGCCCATTGCAGAAAGCCGTCGCTGCGCTCAAAGAGGTTAGAGAGCGCAAGTTTGTCCTTATCATCTGTACCTCTAAGACTTCGTTAGGCCAAGAAATATGCTGCAAATGGCCACCAAGCAGCCATGCTCGATGGCTATATCGAATCGTAAGTGCACATAATTGTCTAGTATAGATGACTTTGTATTCAGGGTTCATCAGCTTTGAGACTGGCTCCATTGAAGCCCATAAGAAGGGTTCAACAGAGTGGGTGAAGGACGTTGGCCCTGTCGTCGAGAGCTACATTGGCTTCATCGAGACTTACGTCGACCCCTATGGCGGCCGTGCTGAGTGGGAAGGTTAGCGTTGCTCTGACCTATGACTGGCTGGTTGATCCATCGGATAACAGGATTTACCGCTATCGTCAACAAGGAAATGAGCGCGAAGTACGACACCCTCGTCGCGAAAGCTCCAGAGCTACTCGAAGTTCTGCCCTGGGGCAAGGACTTCGAGGTGGACAAGTTCCGTAAGCCTGACTTCACGGCATTGGAGATCTTGACATTTGCAACCGGTGGTGAGTGTGCTACCCCGTTATCGGACTCCATATAACTGATAATGCGTGTGCTTGCTTGCCCAGGTATTCCGGCTGGTATTAACGTACGTCGCTATGTTTTAGTATTCCGCAACCATGTCTCATCCTGTGTGATTACAGATCCCGGTAAGTTACTCAAAGTCAGTGCTAATGACGTATACTTAGAGATCGTATAGAACTACTACGAGATTCGTGAATCCGTTGGTTTCAAGAACGTATCATTAGCGGTCAGTAGTTCGTACCCCATGATCATACCCCGCATTTCCTTGACCTCGCCCGAAACAGAACATCCTTGCTGCAAAAGCCCCTAGTGCGTTTATATGCTCGCCCATGAATCCGATGCCTAACTGGAGTTACACGTGCAGACGAAGAGCTAACATTCATCCACCCGGACGACGTGGATCTCTACAACGCCTGGGATTCTCGCGCTTTCGAGCTGCAGGTTGCTAACCACGAATTGCTCGGCCATGGTAGCGGAAAACTATTCCAGGAAAGCGCAGATGGTACTAAGAATTTTGATCCATCGAAGGTAAGGTCGTACTCCCCTGCGTTGGCCCACAGTCTCAAGGCAGCGTCTCGGATATAGATCACGAACCCGCTTACCGGCAAACCGATGTATGTTATAAGTGTCATCATTCGGATAGCAATCAGACCCATTGTGATCACTCAGTACGTCTTGGTACAAGCCTGGCCAAACCCCCGGCTCCGTTCTTGGCGAGGTGTCCTCTTCTATGGAAGAGTGCAGAGCCGAGACAGTGGCGTTGTACCGTTAGTGTGCGCATCAGTTTTCGTGCCCAGATGCTGACGTGTCCATCGTTCAACGATCAGTCGTCGGCGAGCCTCGGATCCTCAAGATCTTTAACGCAAGCGTAAGCTACTTGTGCCTGCTGCACGGTTTCTGACTTCGCGTCCAGTACACAAACAAGAAGGACGTCGAAGACATCCAGTACATCACTTTCCTGCTGATGGCTCGCGCGGGTCTGCGTGCACTCGAGTTCTATGATCCAGCGACCAAGAAGCATGGGCAGGCACACATGCAAGCTCGGTGCGTTTCCTTTCCGACAGCATTCTCATTCCCCTCGCTGACTGACGCACTCCAGACTCGGTATCACGCAACACCTGATCAAGTCAGGCATCGCACGGCTCGAGGAAGTCCGCAGTGCCGAGGGCACGCTGGAGAACCTTTACATCAGGGTACACTCTTAGATCCCTATCGCCGCATAAGCCACGGCGTCCCTGACTTTGCATTGGACTCGTAGGTTGATAAGGAGAAGGTGCTCACCCACGGGCGTGAGGCCGCTGGCAAGCTTCTCGTCGAGCTGCAGGTGCGGAAGAGCACTGCGGACGGCCCGGGTGCGCGTGCGTACTACACGGAGTTGACGACGCCCCTGCCTGGTTGGGAAGGCGAGATCCGGGATTTGGTGCTTAAGAAGAAGCTGGTACGTTGCCTGTGCAAGATTAGACCCGTCCTACTGTTTGCTTTGGATTTGTAGAGTGCTGACATGCCCTGCAGCCACGCAAGATCTTTGTACAGCCCAACACCTTCGTTGAGAACGGCGAAGTTGTATTGAAGGAGTATCCTCTCACACCTGTCGGCGTCATTGAGAGCTTCATCGAGAGGCGGCTCTGATGTCGCGGTGATGACATTCAGCTACATGGTATGGACGAGACGCCATGCATTGGCTGTAGATCGTGATAAGTTGGTCCTATGGGTAATCCGAGGGTTTTGTGCAAGCGAGGTCAGGTAATTAAATTGTAGGAGCCCGACCAATGTAAAATACATCTGACAATGCTACGGTAGTGGAGAATCTAACTGTCAATGAGAGTAATGTCCATAGTGAATCCAGCAGGAACCAGTGCTAGTCTGGATATATGATATATCAAGATCCAGGTGTGAAGCCAAGCGACGTGGCGTTATAACGTCTCCTTGACCAGCGCGACGACGACGGTAACGCTGAGGTAGCAATGATTAACAAATCTGCTACACGGATGTCTCGTAAACACTCACTCATCCTCTTTCTGCAGCCACCAAGACGTCAGGGCAGTGCGGAGCCAGAAGCGCGAAGGGACAACTCACTCCACCACGGAAGTACATCCCCTCCCTAGCGGCGGCTCGTTCGAACGGGCTTGCCCGATTCTTCTTCTTCATGCATGCAGCAGCATACTCTACCAATCGCTCAGCGATTGTTTGTACTAGCTGGTCATCCGATACCTGGGACCATGCCATGACGTGAGCACACATTGAAACTACAGGTACGATTACATACGTCTTCTTGCACTGCTTGCTTCTCACCAGCATCACCTTCCTGCTGTGGGCTTGGCTGCGGAGCAGCGACAGCGAATTGACGTGAGACTAATGTACATATCGTGCTCATCTCTGCAGGGAACACGTTGTCCGATAGACCATCGGTCTGCAGCGAATGACCATGCATTACTTATTTGGAATACGACGCGCGGGGCTTGCGGGATACGCACGTATGCAATGACAATGTCCCCATCGCGAAGCTTCGTTTCAAATGTGTCCGCTTCGCGAGGAGAGTCAATGACGGCACGAGAAAAGCCAGGCGTGCCTTTTGGTAGCTTGGAAAGCTGTCTGTAGCGAATCGTCAAAATCATAGATATGGCACTCTTCAGTTTGGGCTTACTTTGGGCAATTAAAGAAATGTTGTTGTGGACGCTGCTGGTAGATTACGTTGGACGAGCGAAATATTAAGAATCCACTGTCCCCCAAGCTGCACCGCGACATTAGATCATTCTGGTGAGTTCAGGAGGACCGAACGCACTTAGCACCGCGAAGAACACCTGATGCAGCATTCAATGTCAGCAGGCAAGCAGTACTTGAGCCTGAATGAGGAAAGTGGGAGGCGCTCCAAGCTCGTCAGTATTCACGGGAAGTATGGTATAAGGCACCATACCTGCTCTGACATCCCGTTCGCGGAGGACACCTCCATACGCAAGCTCCAAACACTCCGCAGGACTCATCTCCCAACCTTCGACCTGGACCTTCTCTTCCAGGTCCTGGATTGGATCGGTCTCCGGCTCACCTGCCCACGCAGCCTTGGAGTATCGGTGGGAATGGTACATTAACGCTTGAGAGAATAGTGAAGGATCCACTCCGGAGTCAACCCAACCTCCGACCCCGTCTGCGACACCGAACGACACGCCCTGGTATAACAGAAGCGTGTTGGACAAGTACAAACAGAGGCGATCAGAAAGATAGGTCATCTTGAAAGTGGCTCACCTACCGACTGACTGCGCATCTAGGACCCATGAATAAGATCAGAACGGCAGGGTGAAAGAGCACGCGTAAACTCACATCCTGCACATAAAAGAAATCCTCGCCGACGTGATTCCCTACTGAAGAGCGGTATTTTGCCAGTAGTTGATCCCTCCATGCGCCAATTTCACTGTCTGGTGCGAAAGGTTTCGTTTTGAAGCGACGCATCTGAGGATCTGGTGGCTTGCCCGCCCAGCTGGCCCCAACGTGAAAGCGGTACGGTCTAGGCAGCGATGAATATGTACGACGGGTAGTTTTGGACAGTATGCATAATTTTTGCGTGATACGGCATCCGAACTTCATGCTTTCTGCAGCAATCCCAGCTGCTGTAAAAGAGGTATAAGAACAAGGCAGTGCAAGTCGAATGTGCTTCGAGGAATTGACGCGGGACGGGGAGTTACAGCGCTTGCTTTGCGACATCATCGGCACGTGCGGAGAACATGTTGAGCAAGCGCTCGCACTCATGATCAGTCAGAGGAAGCCGACACTCAAATTGTCACTCATAGACGTACATAGCTCTCAGTTTGTAGGATGAGAAATCAATTCCCATTCACTACATGAGCATGCTAGGTTGGTCGTAGTCCGATAGAGTATGACAATGGTTTTTCATGACATTAAGAATAGTCACGTTTAAGGGCGATTGGCACAGTTGGTAGCGCGCACGCTTCGCATGGTCGATCGAGTGACTTGGCCTTTGCATGCGTGAGGTCCAGGTTTCGAATACCTGATCGTCCATAATGCCTTTTTGGCTTTGATGTCAGAGGCATGCACAGTATGAAGGCTAGGCATCCCTCACAAGCTCAATGGTCTTCGCGAATCTATTTATACCGTATCGCGGCGTTCGATGCGATATGCTGTGACTGAGCCTCATCTCACTGCCAACTCTTGCCCTGTAGCGATTAGTGATGCTATGTGGATACAGTAGTACTATGTAATGCATGAAAAGATCAACGATAAACACGATAAGGGTGTTAACGCCTCGAGTCTCCGTTACTGGTCTGAATGCCCCAGGCCATCCAATCGAATGTTCCTGATTTTGACTTGGCAGCTGATGCAGGCTTGCCTTTGGAACCCGGTGATTTGGGTACTGGCCCCCCTTTGGGCTTCGATGTACTGCTGCCCTTTGTCGTTAACCCACTGGAGGCTCTTCGTTGACTGTCAGCAAGTAATGATGATGTGATGGTCGTCTGAGAGCTCTTAGTACCGGGATGTTTCGGGAATTGCTGGGTAGGCCAGTTGTGTGGGAGGCTTCCACAAGCAGCGATTTGTGGAGGGGGAGAGGGGACGCGAAGCTGGGAGATTGGCTTCAGAGGCTTGACTTTCGGGGTCAATGCCTCCGAAGATGCGGGCGTTAGGTCAAGGCGAGAACCAGATGCTTTCTTTGACAATGGAGTGGTCGAAACTACTGGTTCCAACATATCAGGAAATAGAAGCATCCTAAACAACTCGCTGAACGTACCAGCAGGTCCCTGGCACTCGGAGTGCATCTTCGCCTTCCCGGACGCCTTGGCAGATCTTGCGAAAGGATTCGACGAGATCCTGCGTATCGTCTCGGCCCGATTGCTTACACCTTGACTAGCATTCGTGGCAGCGAGCAACACTTGACGTTCTTTCAGGCTTGTATGCAAAGCCGTCACAGCCGCGTTCACCTCTGCACGCTCACGGACGCCATCCGTAGACAGTGTACGTCCGTCTGCCAGCGGCGCGTCGAGCTTGACTTTCTTCCGTTCGGTGTCGTCGGCATTCGCCTTCAACAGATCGAGCGAAGGAAGAGAGTTCCACGAAGGCGGGGAACGGTAGAGCATGAAGGGCTTGTCTTCTGGTTTGCAGGCGCGTGCACGACTGGTTGGCCTTATTGCAGCAGGGCCATGAGGGCCACTCTCGTAGAATCGCCTGACAGAGCCGCGCCGTGCTTCGAGGAGAACCTCTTCGCTAGCAACATCGACCATGGTATCAGGCTGCCGCTCGCAAGGCCCATGATTCGCGCATCCGAGACAGCTGCAGCTGTTCCGAGGCATAAGCCGGTTCAGAGATGCACCTGTTGCTTCAGTTTGCTGACGGTAGCGTGGAGATAGAAGGAAGACGTCTTGTCTACTGCCTATCGAGGGCGCATCACTCGCTGAAGTTATCGTACCCGTAGGCTGCGGAAAACCAGACGACCTTCCATAGTCCAGCCCACGGACTTCGAGTATGTAAGGCTTTGGGTGCGAGAACAGGGAACATTGTTCACCTGCCACGGGGGAGGCCAGGAATAAGAGCGCCTTCGACGGGGTGGTAGGGTAAAATAGTTCAGCGTGTTCGCACGGTCGAAAGGGAGCCGCCCTGCTAGTAGACTTACAGCGGGTCCCTCTTACATCTAAACTCAGATCAACTTTTGGCTATAATGTTCAGGCTAGCGCACGACTCACCAACCACGGACAGCAATGGAAACATCGTAAGACACTCGAAAACTTCGTTGTTGACGTTCATACAGTTGCGCAGGCTGAGGATGCGCAAGCCCCATGGTCCGCGTCGATACACGCCGGGGCCAGTGCCCGCTCCCTCGTCCTCTTCCGTGATCGTCAGCGTCTTTGCGAGAGTCTTAACACTCCATGCGCTGAGTGCTGTGCCACTAGCGTCGAATGCGCACAGGTTATGTAAACCCTTGAGCAATACGACATTTTCGTCCGTGAGCTCCTTGCACCCCGGAAGCTCAAGGACCGTCACGAGTGCGAAGGAAGCAGTGGGCGGAATGCGTTGCAGCGACAGGAGATAACGGTCAGCCAGTGGAAGCGTGTATACGCGCAACTGTGCTGGAAGATCGTCGTAGAGCTGTACGAGCACGGCCCAGAGACGCGGATCAACCTGCATTAGGTCGAGCGGCTGACCTTGCCGATAGAAAGGGATGAGTTCGCGTAGAATGTCATGGGCTTCCGGGTTCTCCGGAGGCCTGTAGGTTAGACGCAGTGGGCCTAGAGTATGTACTTGGTCGGGATAGTCGAGGAGAGCCTGAATGCAGAAGTACGTGAGCGACGGCAGGTAGCTCGGCCTCTCCCGTCCGCTTGTTGCGAGTTCGTATGGTGAAGCTTTTGGTGGCACCTGTGGAAGTGTGCATTTGAGTATGGTGATACCTGCGTCGTCAGACGTGCGGGTTTGGCGTGGCCGCCACAGTCGAATGGACCTGCTCATCGGCCCGCTGTGCTCATGAAGAAGAACGCAGTCAGAATCAACCAGAGTACGCAGTTGTAAAAATCTTGTCCGCTAACTATGTTGTTGTCAGATGTCGATTGGCGAGGACGACGTCAAGTGCGCGGTGAGGCGCGTTCTTTACTACGCACGCCCAGTGGCATTCACCTTCTCACGAGGCTGCGACACGATCATGTGATCGTGATTGACACCACACAGTAGTACCCAGATATGTAGCGAATACGCGGTTATTCGTCTTCGTCGAAGCTTGTAGGCCTCGCATCCTACAGGGCCTACACTTGGTGCATACCATTCATCCGAGTAGGCAAATACTATGAGGCTGTAACAGAGTTTCAGAGATATCACCTGAGGAATCATGCATTTTCCTCGGGCTATTATCGCGAAATATCACAACATTGTAATGTACTCAGTCAATCGGACTTGACATGGACACCGCAGCAGCATACGCTCTGCTGCGCCCCATCCATACTCTCCCATGAGCGAGGTTGGAAGCCCGAGAGCATACTATTGCGACTGTATATACCTACTGGCAGGTCCCGATGGCATTGCCAGTATTCTCCGTATTTTGCTGCTTATGGAAAGGGAACATAACTCATTCTTCTGAAGGTTCCACGAAGCCTATCAATCCCTATCAACTGCATGGCTTCTTGTCATTGAGTTATAACTGCGTCCTTTCGAAATTCTTGACCGACATCAGTACTTATCGTATACTCTACTTGCCGGGGGGCGGAAGGAAGTAGTTCGCATGTAGAATTACTTCGCAGAAGGAGCACACCGCACAATGCAAAGTAGAGTCGGAATGTATGAGACTCGTAATTCCCTTGAGCATGCGAGTCGGTGAAGGCTGAGAAGGTAATGCCGCTGTCGCGGTGCGGATGGGCGCCGCATCAAGAGAAGACAAGGTCGCGGTTAGCGCGCGCTTCTTCCGCACTTGCCAACGAGTTCCCACGGTGGCAGTGAACGAAAGAGCTGCGCCGCCCGGTATCCTGTTTCCGTATCACCGACAACGGCTGGCTCTCTCCAGTCCTCGACTTGCAAGGCATCCTCTGTTTGCTTTTCTCATCTACTACCAGTCTGTCGCTGGCCCTTCCACTCTTTAGTCACCCTCCTTCCTAGCACTTTCCAGGACTTCCGTCTTGTCTATACGCCTTATCCATGGCTGCCCCTCCAGGATATGGGCCTCCGAACCCTCACAATCCGTTCGCTGACCAGTCCTCGCCATATGGAGCACCGCTGCGTCAATACCCCGGGGAGAACGACTATGCCAGTCGCAATGCCAGTGCCGTACCGCTAACCAACCCTGCTTACTTCGACGCGCCGAAATGTGAGCCTCGTCTTCTACTCGCTCACACACCGCGTCATTTCGTGTCCTGTGTAACGCTACGTGATGTTGGTTAACTCAACGATTCTCAATAGCGACGGGAAGCGTCGAGTCGATGGACGCATACGACCGTCCGTACAGTGCTTCGGTCAATTCTCGCTTCAGCACTGGCACAACAGACGGTCCTTACAACCCGTTTGCCGACATGCCTGGCTCTGGTGAGCCGTATCCTGCATGGTCGTCCGATCGGGACATTCCCATGTCTGCCGAGGAAATCGAGGATATCTTCCTCGATCTTGCCCAGAAGTTCGGTTTTCAGAGGGATTCCATGCGCAATATGGTGAGCCATTCCGTGACAGCGCGTCCGCAAGTATCTGAACGCGCAACCCTACTTGAAAGTACGACTTCTTGATGCAACTCCTGGACTCAAAGGCGTCGCGCATGCCACCTAACCAAGCCCTCATCACTATTCACGCCGACTACATCGGTGGGCAACACGCAAACTATCGCAAGTGGTACTTTGCCGCGCAGCTTAACCTGGACGACGCTGTCGGTCAATCGCAGAACCCTGGTCTGCAACGACTGCGGAGTGTCAAGGGCAAAGTGCAGACCACCAGCACGAAGCACCTGGACAGCGCCCTCAACCGCTGGCGTAACGCGATGCATAACATGAGCCAGTACGACCGGCTGCGGCAGGTCGCCCTCTGGCTTCTGTGCTGGGCCGAGGCAGGGAACGTCCGTTTCACGCCCGAATGTCTCGCGTTTATTTTCAAGTGCGCCGATGACTACTATCGTAGTCCGGAGTGTCAGAACCGCGTTGACCCCGTCCCTGAGGGTCTTTACCTTGAGGCAGTGATCAAGCCATTATATCGCTTCATGCGGGATCAGGGTTATGAAGTCGTCGAAGGCAAGTTCGTGCGGAGAGAAAGGGATCACAACGAGATCATTGGTTACGATGACATCAACCAGCTCTTCTGGTACCCCGAGGGCATTGCGAAGATCATCCTTCATGACAACGTGCGTGCGCTCGGACTCATTGACCAATGTTACTGACATTCAGTTCTTTCCAGACGCGGTTGGTTGACATTCCGCCGGCGCAGCGGTTCATGAAGCTTGGCAAGGTGAACTGGAACCGCGTCTTTTTCAAAACCTTTTTCGAAAAGCGATCCTTGGCTCACTTGCTCATCAACTTCAACCGCATTTGGATCTTGCACGTTGCGATCTATTG